TTGCCAAACCATCTTCCAATCTTTTAAAATATTTATATTTCATTTAGTTTCCTGAACTTTTGTATCTTATAGTATCTCTCATTATAAAATAATAGATTTAAAGATAAAAAATCAGTTGCTTAAGTTGGTTGTTTTATTATGTATTACAAAAAAATTTTTTATATGATGTGACAATTTTTATAAATAAAAATAACTAATTTATCTAGTAGGTATATACCTGGGTATAAGAAAAAAATACAACTTTTAAAGTTAATAAGGCTAGGATTAGGGTTAGAATTAAAGATATTAAAAGTATATTTATATACAAAATTGAGTGCTAAACAATTTTACTTAAGTTACCTACATATAATTTTCTTAATAAAATTTTGAGATAGTGATGATTTTTTAATTTTTTCTTATATATTGGGTATATAAGGTGCCTCGTATTAAAAAGGCTCATTTTGACATATAATTTATTTTGAAATAATTGAGTTTAAATGTTTGTTTTGATTTTCAGACTGATCCAGAATTAAGCAAATTTTATGATTTTGATTGGTTAAAGGTAGCAGGTGATTATTAGGTAATCTCGTGACATGCTTGGCCTTAGACAGTATCATGTAATTTTTCTTTTACATTATCTTCATTTTTTATTATACAAATCAACCTTTATTCATAAATTTAAAAAATGTCTATTATATCAAAATCTACATGAATCTCATAAAAACTCATTTTTTTGAAAAATTGCAAAATAGGCCTTTTTAATATGAGATATCCCATATACCCACCAGAGACCAGAAAAAGTTTATATATGAATATTTATAAATAAATCAGAATTTTTGGTCTAAAACAATATAAAACAGAATTTTTAGAATTGAGCACAATCATATAACTTATGTTTATTTTGATTGGTTAAATATCATGTGGTACTGGTTTAAACATCCAAATGATATTTGATATATATTTTATAAATTATCTACTATTAGTCATAACATTACTTCGTACAAGTGTATTGTAGAATTTCTAACCCATCTACAGAGCTTTTATAAGAATAGGCAATTTATTGTAATATTAATTTGGCGAAATTGAATTTATTAATAGTTCAGAATCAACATTTCATATCAATTACCATTTTAAATGCAATAGCTATGAAGTATATTTGGTTACCAATTTTATCGTGTAGTGTAGAACAAGTGAGGAATCACTTCGAGCACTTAATATTATGTATGATAATAGTAATTATAATAATTTTTTTATATCGGTATAAAACGGAATTTCTGACCAAATCAAAATGAATTTTTTGTAAATCAAAACAGAATTTTTCCGTGTTCTTGACGCCCACAGGTACAAATAGAAATCCTCTTTATAAATATATGATCGTCGCCAATGATATTTATTCTAATTTTAGCCAATCAAACCGAACTTCTTCAATGCTATGTATAATCATATTTGAGGTCTCTCCTGTTCTGGTAAGTTACATAAGTTACCGGTGGCAGTAACCTGTATTTTATTCCGTAACTTTATCACGGTAACTCACAAACCAGAGCCGAGCCGTTAATAGGCTGAGCCGACTTTTGGCTCCACAAACTAGTTTATAGGCCGATCAGCCTAAAGTCATCAACTTCAGGCCTAAAGATAAGGCAATGTATTACGTACAAAACTATGCTACTTTTTTTCATGAGTGAGATAACTTTATATTTTATAATAAAACATTAGAAGATTATTACAGTACAATAGTGTAAAATGTTTAAGAATTAAATAAAACTAGCTTAATCTTTAAGAGTTCTGCTCCTGGCTTTTAAAAATGCTCTGTCGGGTAATTAAATAAATTAGTAATATCATTTATAGCTACGTAACGCCTGATAAAAATCAGCAGTTAAATTTGTGTTTCGCATGTACGTACGTACTTTTCAACGACAAAAATCAATATTTCAAATTTATTTGAAAATGAAATAAAGCTGATACATCCTCATTTGAAAATAAATACGTTATCTATTTTTGTCAAGATTAGATTCCCGCACGTTAATTCTGAAAATCCTATTATGCCGAAATCACAAACTTAACCGAATCGGCCGAAAAATCATTCGGCTAATTTTTCAGGTGTTTCAAAAATTATAATAATAACTGTAAGTCACAATACAAGTGGGTTTTTATTGTCTAATATCATATGATGTAAACTTATCGGCTCGCGGCTCCATGTTCGGTTCCAAAGTTTGGAGCCGAGCCGTTTTTAGAGCCAATGCTTTATTAGTAGACCGTAGCGAGCCGATAATCGGCTTAGCCGTATGCATCGCTAAGTCAGGGTAGATAAAATCTGATTGGATGTTATATTAAATTTCACCAGTTTCACCAAGAGTTTACCAGTTTCACCAGCATCTATAATCGATATACCATACTGAATTCAGGAATTAGTGAATCACTTAAAGTGAGGCTAAATAATCACGTTTTTTAAACTAACTGGTATCGATCCTAAAAAAAATCACAAAGATTGTTTTAATGAGTTGATATGATCATGTAAAATTTTTTGCCTTGATATTTTTGTCATAAAATGACATCATCATTTATGCAAAATATCACGACAAAAAATTTCACATGCTAATATAATATAAACAATAACATCAATATTGGTCATACGAAAATAACAGGACATTTTTTTCATCGGAGCTCATATCTCACATAGGAGTGACATGAACTCCTATGAAAAAAATGTCCTGTTATTTTTCATCGTATGACCAATATCTCATAAACCTGATTGGTACTGATCATACGATTGATTTGATGTTCGCTGATTGGTTAAGTTTGTCTAAGTTTTCAAAGTTAATTGGACATATGTCCAAAACCAATTGGACATATCAGATATGGGGTCTTTGCCTTGAAAATCACTTTACGACAGTTTCCGATCGGGCTAATTCGGACAAAACAGACCAAAATATCAGTTTGTATTTATATGTGAATCACATTTGACCTTTATTGATTTAATAGATTATTGAAATCAATAAGTCAAAATGTGATTCACATATGGTCTGTTTGTCCGAATTAGCCCGATCGGAAAATGTCGTGAGGTGATTTTCAAGGCAAAGACCCCATATTAAATGTAGCGCAGTTTTTTGTCCAATTTCCCAACACTGGGTTAAGTCACTTTTTTCGCCATGACTTCTTGAAAGCTAGAAGTCTGGTTTTCACATATATAATGCTATAGCAGATATTCATTACAACGGACAAATTTTCCAGCTTGATCAATCCGTTATAGAGAGTAAACTGTATTTCAACCTGTGGCTTAATAAATTAAGTTTCGATTTCGAATATCTTATCGGGATTTACTTTCAGAGACGACCATACGTACTACGTATTGTTATACCGATTTCTACATAATAACGATAAATACTTAAACATAAAAGAAATTTATAAATGCTACGTCCCCACGCATAAAGTATACTGTATTGGTATCAAAGAATTTAAATAGCGAATCGGGTTCTGATAATGCTTCCTTTGTGGGCTCAATTTATTAACCCAATTTAGCAATGATGGACGTACATAATGTGGTACATATTATTTATTTCGACAATATGTAGCGTCGGAATTTTTTACGTAACAGTACGTAGCACTACTGTTACAGCTCTAAGGAGATAAAATAGGTGATATTAATCAAATTACCTTTTTTTATGTGGTATCGTATGTTACCGTTTCTTTTTCGTGCATGCATTAGATAAATTGTAACTCAGTTTCAAACTTGTAATCTGATAGCATATATTTATCAACCGGTAAAGTTAGCACGTACGTAAGTACCAATCTATTAAAACTCAGATGTCTTTATCAGGGCCGGAACCCTTAAGTCCACCACCACCTTTCTCAGATATCGAACATGCTAATAATTCCATATTTGTGGGCTCTCAGGTTGTAAATTCAAAGACTATTCTCAATTATTTTAACTTCTATTAAACTTAATAATCATTCTGTAGAATGTGGATGAACAACAAGATCAAGCTCCAGCATATTCGTTCTATCCCTCAACATCTGGTTCATACTTTGAGCTTAAAACGCTCGGGAAACAATTAAATAGGAAGGACAAATATTTATGTGGGGACATACTTGATAATCGATACTTTTTATTGGGTTCGAATACTGGATTAGAATTCATTGATTTATCCCTTCCATCCGAACAACAAATACCAGAAAAACTTATTGAAGCTGTACGATTCAAGCAAATAGTAATTTTGATAACCCAAAGATACTATAAGATACAAAAGTTCAGGAAACTAAATGAAATATAAATATTTTAAAAGATTGGAAGATGGTTTGGCAA